ACATGTGAAAGAGTCACTTCAGGTTCTTTGATTTGAGTGACTCCAACACGAATCTTAGTTTCTGAGCCTGAGACTTTTAAAGAAATCTGTCTTTTATTCAAATTAGGAGCTGATATATTTTCTCTCCCTCAAAAGTTTTTGAGTAACAAAAAAAAAGATTCAGATGTGTATATAATGTATAATTTACAGCCAATACTCAGCACTATTTCCAAAATACACTGATACCCTCAAAGCTGCGCAGCATGTTTTTGTCACCTTTTGCAGCTGAAGCCCTAAGAGCATCTCCAAACCTGACAGAAGCAGAAGTCAAGCACTTTTCAACTGGTTTCAAGGAGACAAGGACGGAGCAGTGGAGGGTTTTGACTGTCCAGGAGTGTCTGCCAACAGTTAAACTTTGAGATTAAAATAATAAATCAGACACCATCTCTCTTGCTCCTCCCTAAGAACAAATGTTGGACCTCCCTCTTCTACAAAATGTGTGCTCCTGTCATTCTACATCTAGAAATCTAGCACCACATCAATGTGTTGTTTATGCCAGGAGAGGATGTTCACATCATCACCATCTTGTCTTTAGTGTTGTTGTTCCTCCAGCCTTCTCTAAACAACTCCAGACAGACATCACCCTGACATTATCACGGTGTTGTTCCAAGACGTAGTGGCCTGATGAGCAGATAACGTGCTAGCCACTTGAAAAGAAGCTGAGACACCAGACAGGCCTTCACTGCATCTCATCAACTCTCCTCTCCTAACATGCTAATACAAACTGTAAACCACACTGCACACTCCTGAACCACAGGCTCAGTTATTTAAGGATGGCAGTCACTGTGCCTCTTTTGCTGAGTCTGCACCGATTCTGTCCGTGATGCGCTTTCTTATAACTCAAAACATTGTGTCTTGATGTGGCACCGTAGGGCTATAACTGTTTAAACCAAACTGTTCCCTGCTGGGATAATAAAGCTCCTGTTACTCTGGAAGTTATCAATTTGCCAGCCCTATAGTGAAGTGTAGGCTCATATCAACTCACTTCACTTGACATTATTGATTAAGGAGCTCATCCTTTTCAAGCTTCTACAAATAATTATACAGAAGTCAAACAAACACTAATTGAAATGCAGCCAACACTAAAGCTAACTACTAAAACTTGTCTGCGTCTAAATTAAGAGGAGTGGATAACCTTGATTTGATTTCACTTTAACATCAGCATATAATTAAACCACTTTTAGCAAGGAGAATGTGATTTAAGCCCTGCTCAGGCTGACAGTAGCTCTATGTAAAAACAACTATTCATTTGGATGGAGCCGGTTTGTCGGCACGGCAACGGTGACAACACTGTCTCATTCAGCAAAACAGCTGGTGAAAACTCAGGCAATCAAGTTGTTATAATTCTCCTTCTGGGCACAGTGAGCATCTATACAGAATTTTAAGGCAAATCATCCAAAGTTTGTTGAGATTTCAAAAAATAACTCTCAACCTCAAGGAAAAGTCCATACAGACAGAATGGATCATCAAAGTCTGCACAAAGGTTTATGCCAAACCATCCAATTCATAGCTAAATGCAACAAACATTTACCAACTGTTAGCTATAACTGAAAAATACATGAAATTTAACATCAAAACCACAACCATGAAAAGAGCTGGATTTAAAAAATCTGAGTTTCAACTAGTTTCATGTTTGGTTTTCTTTGTGCATGCTGTTCTCCCATAGTAAACACTGTTTATCTGTGTGTGTGTGTGTGTGCATCAGAGTGCAACACTGAAGTGTGAATGCATGAAAATCACAACTGAACCGTCTGCTATGTTATGCAAGGGCCCAGTGAATAAAAAAAATCATGTGCTCAGCTTGTACAAATGCACTGTGTTAAAGGATAAGGCCGGTTATTTTCTATATTAATAGTATTTTCAGCACCGTACAGAGACTAAAACCGACAATGAGCTGCCTCTGCTCATGGTTAATGTCTGACAGCTGCCAGTCCTGGTTTAGCGTGTTCATCTGTGCCATAGACCTCCACTGTTATACAAAAATGATTAAAAACACATCAGAGAAACACAGCGCTGCACTGGATGACATGTTTTTTCATTACAAAACCCAAAATCCAACCATGTTGCCCCAAAGGTTCTGTGTGGCCAAAATTTCCTGAAGTTAGCACAAGGCAGAGTCAAATGTGCAAGCAAAAGATCTACTGTGAGCTCGGTGCTTTGTTTACCCTCCACCAGCTACTCACGCGCCCGTCTGGGGCTTGCCAGTGAAGAAACTTGTCACCCGGTGCAGTGTTTCGCTGAGGTGTTTTTGATCATTTCTGAACAATGGAGGTTTATGACACAGATGAGCAAGCTGATCCAGGACTGACACACTGATGGACATTAGCCGTGAGTAGAGGCATGTCACTGTCGGTTTTAGTCTCTGTATGGAGAGTCCCGAAAATACTATTAATATAGAAAATGAGCAGCCTTGTCCTTTAAAGGAGAATCTGCATTAGAAAAGTGTGTCCGTCTGGAGCAGCCGTGTGGGTTTTACTCCCGTCTGCTACACAAACACACGAGGAAGGTTTGGGAAGACATTCATTTTCAACTTGGTTGTATTACTGCCTAACTTTTTTCCTCATGTCAGAATGTTCTAGAAGTCTTGACTCGTGTTGATAAAACCAGTTGGTGTCCATGTTTATTTCATGTAGCTGTTGATGAGCAGCCACCAGGAAATAGGATTCTTGATTAGAAGTGTTAAACTCATTTAGAGAAATCTGATTTAAAAAAAAAAATCCAATAATAAAATGGCAACAGCACCAAATAGTGATAACAAGTGACATATCATGTTCTGCTGCTGTGGCAGTGCTAGCTCGCTGTCGCTGCACTGTGGAGCTGAGAGACTGCTGTGTCACCTCGCATTAACAAAACTCTGACTCACTCTGCTCAGCTTGACTCGTTAATATTACAAACAGCAAGCAATCATCCAAATGCAGCAAGGAAGAATAAAATAAGTGGAACCATTCTACTACACCAAGTGTGAGCATTTTCAGGTGGAGACCTGTTGGATGGATGAGAGGAACAATGCTCCAGAGCAACACATGAATGAATTATATAGCCCGCAACTCAAGACTTTCTGTACTGTTACACACTTTGATGGCTGACATGTTGATACTATGGACACTTTGATGATGACAACATTTTATACCAAGTGGCACCAATTCAGACACATCATTCTGCATCATCACTGCCAGGTGTACTGGCACATAATTTGTTTGAGGACTTTCAGTCAGGTTTTAGAGTCCATCAAAGTACAGAAACTGCATTGGTGAAAGTCACCAACGATCTCCTCCTAGCCTGGGACAAAGGACTCGTCTCCATACTTGTCCTCTTAGATCTCACTGCTGCTTTTGACACCACTGATCACAGCATCTTGCTGCAGAGACTTGAACATGTTATTGGGATTAAAGGAACTGCGCTAAGTTGGTTCAAATCTTATTTATCAGAAAGATTTCAATTTGTTCATGTTAATGATGACCTTTAAGATTAGACTTAAGACGTTCCTTTTTGATAAAGCTTATAGTTAGGGCTGGATCAGGTGACCCTGAGCCTTCCCTTAGTTATGCTGCTATAGGCCTAAGCTGCTGGGGGGGCATGATGCTTTGAGTTTCTCTCCTCTCCATCTATATGCCACATTACACATCACTAACTTTGTGTCTCCTCTCTCCCGTAGTGTGTCCTCTCTCTCTCTCCCTGTACCTTTCTACAGGTTGCCCTGGCCCTGGAGCTCTACGTCTCTGACGAGCAGTCACCAGCCACATCAACCTGCCCAGTGTTTGATTGTTTGTTGTGTCTTGTTGCTTTTCTTCTTTTGTCTCTCCTCTATCCACTCACCCCAACCAGTCGAGGCAGAAGGCCGCCCACTAAGAGCCAGGGTCTGTCAGAGGTTTCTTCAGTTAAAGGGAGTTTTTCCTCCCTGCTGCTCAGGGGGGTTTGTTTTGGGTTTTTCCTCTATAATAATATTAATAGTACGCTCTAGACTTTACAAAGTGTCCTCAGTTGACTTTTGTTGTGATTTGGTGTTATACAAATAAAATTGAAATAATCTACAGGTCCATCAAAGACAAGACAGTGCAATGTGGGCAGAACATTTGCACACAGTTTGAACATTACATTTGTTTTATTGTGGGAATTTCTGAGTGCTGTCAAACAAAAAGGTGAGAAGTAAACAGACACGTCCAGACAGCTGAAAAGATGGGAAGTTGAATTTGGAAACAAACGCCTATCATCAGATTGTGCCGCTTAACGTTAGTGTTAGCTTTACTGACTGGCTCTATACCCACAGGTCAAACCATCAGCATCAAACCAGCACGTTGAGCACATGTCCTCACATTCATCTATACCCACACAACAGGCTCCTATGAGAACACGGCTTCTTTTGTATAAGAATGGAGACACCTCTAAGAAAATGTTCCTAACAGAAGGACTACAAATACGCAGTAGCAGAATATTTTAAAATATTTCAGAGTACAGAAAAGGCTCAACTTTTAGGGTGGAGTTCACATTGCTTTCACAGACACACACACACACAGGACAAACAGGTTGCGGATGGTAGTGCAGAGAATAAGGAGCAGAACATAATCCTGCGAGCTATCAAAGCAGGATGCTAGAGGCCATATCACAACTTGAACAATCACAATATTAATTTTCTAACCCATAAATGCTGGACAGGAAGTGCAGCAGCTCTCTCCATAGGTGCAATGTTGAACTTAACCTTAGGTGTGAGAGCCCTGTGTTACTCCAGTGCTCACAACAGACCTGACAGCATTTGTCTCATCGGTGTCCTATACTGCAGGCGCCTCCATTCAGTAACACCAACATACGACACAGTCACCCCGTGATACGGTTATACACTGATTGCTCTGATGATTGCTGCTAAAAAATCTGTTTTCTTTAGTATCAAAGTTGCTGTGTCCATGAAGGTTGTTATAAATGACCTACTTTTCTAATGTGCATGTGAGTGTGACTACAATACAAACCTGCTGCTTGTCCTTCTTGTGTATTTTCATCTTCTATCTCTTCACTGCATCTGGTAACAGAAAAGGACAATTCATATTACAACCAGAAATGCACGCTAAAAGAACAACACTGAAAACGTACTATGCCCCGCCCACCCAAGAACAATACAGCCATGCAAGCTGCGAGTTGTTCTGTAAATCTGAAATACAAAAAATTAAGGTGATTTAACGTAGTCCTACTTCGTACTTCTCAATAAATACCCACAAATAAACACTGAAAACACTAAAAGAAAGAATGCACAGTACATTTTCCAGATGCAAGCCACAATTTTCAATTAGAAATATTTTTCCACAACTTCCAACAATTCAGTTACACACATTCAGTCCTGGGACCATTCGAGAACATTCAGTGGTACAGCTACAGCACTAATGACACGTCAGTGCAGTACAGACAATACGTTTCACCGACTCCCCTCTCAACTACTGCCAATCAAGGTCACAGCTAAAAAAAGAAAATATGGCTCTAAAGGACAAAACTGGTGTCTGACCAGCCAAAGAGCAGGAATATGAGATTCAACAGTTTTATTTATTGTCCCGTTGTTTCAGTGTGGATGGAGAATATCTGAGACTGACAGCAACACCCCAGGGAGGTACAGAGATAGGAGCAAACCAAAAAGGGGTCTGGGGGAAAACAACTGAAGGGTGTCAGGGTTCTGCAAAGTTCTGAAAGCAGGTAGACACTGGCAGACTACACACACACAGCACTGCCATTCATAGCGCCTGTAGAAGACGATAAAAACATACCAGCGTTGGTGTAAAATCTACTGACATGTAGGCTGCACTTTCAAAGGTGCTGACAAGATCTAACTGACTTACTAAGAGGGTACAAATACTAATTTGTGTCTGGATGGTGTAACAGACAGGTAACACTAATAAATCACCAGCTCAAGGATGCAGCAAGTGTTTTTAACACGCTTTATGTTCAACAAACTCTCCAATGACACTGATGCTTTTCAGCAGGGCCTTTATTAACCTGGTATCTGCAGGGAAAATGAAAACAGAAGGTGTTCTAATAACTAACATCTCCCCATCACCACATTAGAGAAGCATCTGATAACCAGAGCTGCAAACCACAAAAACAAAGTTATACAGATCTCAGCAACCTGGAAACTTCCAACGCATGACACAATGCATGACAAGAACCAGTTCAAGACGCAGTGCTTAACTCAAAACAGAGCCCAAGTTCAGCTTGTGATTCAGCACTGAAACAGCAGATCTTCACTTATCTGCACTGACTGCACTTCAGAAATCCATCCATCCATTATTATCTATACAGCTTATTCCTGAATGGGGTTGCGGGGGGTTGAAGCCAATCCCAGCTCACACTGGGCGAGAGGTGGGGTCCACCATGGACAGGTCGCCTGTCTATCACAGGGCTGACATGTACAGTGCCTTGCGAAAGTATTCGGCCCCCTTGAACTTTGCGACCTTTTGCCACATTTCAGGCTTCAAACATAAAGATATAAAACTGTAATTTTTTGTGAAGAATCAACAACAAGTGGGACACAATCATGAAGTGGAACGAAATTTATTGGATATGTCAAACTTTTTTAACAAATAAAAAAACTGAAAAATTGGGCGTGCAAAATTATTCAACCCCCTTAAGTTAATACGTTGTAGCGCCACCTTTTGCTGCGATTACAGCTGTAAGTCACTTGGGGTATGTCTCTATCAGTTTTGCACATCGAGAGACTGAAATTTTTGCCCATGCCTCCTTGCAAAACAGCTCGAGCTCAGTGAGGTTGGATGGAGAGCGTTTGTGAACAGCAGTTTTCCACAGATTCTCGATTGGATTCAGGTCTGGACTTTGACTTGGCCATTCTAACACCTGGATATGTTTATTTGTGAACCATTCCATTGTAGATTTTGCTTTATGTTTTGGATCATTGTCTTGTTGGAAGACAAATCTCCGTCCCAGTCTCAGGTCTTTTGCAGACTCCATCAGGTTTCCTTCCAGAATGGTCCTGTATTTGGCTCCATCCATCTTCCCATCAAGTTTAACCATCTTCCCTGTCCCTGCTGAAGAAAAGCAGGCCCAAACAATGATGCTGCCACCACCATGTTTGACAGTGGGGATGGTGTGTTCAGGGTGATGAGCTGTGTTGCTTTTACGCCAAACATAACGTTTTGCATTGTTGCCAAAAAGTTCGATTTTGGTTTCATCTGACCAGAGCACCTTCTTCCACATGTTTGGTGCGTCTCCCAGGTGGCTTGTGGCAAACTTTAAACGACACTTTTTATGGATATCTTTAAGAAATGGCTTTCTTCTTGCCACTCTTCCATAAAGGCCAGATTTGTGCAGTATACGACTGATTGTTGTCCTATGGACAGAGTCTCCCACCTCAGCTGTAGATCTCTGCAGTTCATCCAGAGTGATCATGGGCCTCTTGGCTGCATCTCTGATCAGTCTTCTCCTTGTATGAGCTGAAAGTTTAGAGGGACGGCCAGGTCTTGGTAGATTTGCAGTGGTCTGATACTCCTTCCATTTCAATATTATCACTTGCACAGTGCTCCTTGGGATGTTTAAAGCTTGGGAAATCTTTTTGTATCCAAATCCGGCTTTAAACTTCTCCACAACAGTATCTCGGACCTGCCTGGTGTGTTCCTTGTTCTTCATGATGCTCTCTGCGCTTTAAACAGACCTCTGAGACTATCACAGTGCAGGTGCATTTATACGGAGACTTGATTACACACAGGTGGATTCTATTTATCATCATTAGTCATTTAGGTCAACATTGGATCATTCAGAGATCCTCACTGAACTTCTGGAGAGAGTTTGCTGCACTGAAAGTAAAGGGGCTGAATAATTTTGCACGCCCAATTATTCAGTTTTTTATTTGTTAAAAAAGTTTGAAATATCCAATAAATTTCGTTCCACTTCATGATTGTGTCCCACTTGTTGTTGATTCTTCACAAAAAAATACAGTTTTATATCTTTATGTTTGAGGCCTGAAATGTGGCAAAAGGTCGCAAAGTTCAAGGGGGCCGAATACTTTCGCAAGGCACTGTAGACAAACAACCATACACACACTCACACTCACTCCTACAGGCAAGTTAGAGTCACCAGTCAACCTAAGCTGAGTGTCTTTGGGCTGCAGGAGGAAGCTGGAGAGAACCTACGCAGACACAGGCAGAACATGCTGACTCCACACAGAAAGGCCCAGGGTGTGTGAGGCGACAACGCTAACCACTGTTCCACTGTGCCACTGCGCTTCAGGAGTCCAAGACAGGAATCTGATGATTAATCACTGGACATCCTTGATACCAACAGCTGGGATCGGTACAGGAGCAGATCTTTAGTGGTGCCACAGTAATTATTCTGCTGAAATACTTCTGGCTTTTTGTTTCCACACTGACAATCAAAAGGGACGGCTTGCGTTTCTTAACTTTAGACAAAGCTGCTGGGGTTGGTTTTCAAGCTATGACAAAGCAAAGAAACACTAAAAATGAATAACTTCAAAATAACCTGAACAGAATGTTTGCCAGGGAGGTGGACGGGATCAAATGTAACAGAATTCATTCAGCTCCATGTCTCTGTAACAGCATCACTGCAAGTCATTCAAAATCTACACAAGTATACACAGTGTGTGTCGTGTTCTCTCTTATCAAAATATATGGTTCTCTTTCCTGATGGAGATGAATGAGTTGCCATTACATGTGTCAACCAGCAGCCTCAGTCCACCTCAGTGATTATTTTCAGCTCTAAGGAAACACCATGCTGCAACAAACACCATTTTAACTATTGATGAAGCTGCAGATTATTTTCACAATTAATTGTTTGGTCTACAGAATGTCAGAAAATAATAAAGAACTACATTTCCTAAAGCCAAAATGGTTTATGCAGCCAACTGTCTGAAACAAAAGATGTCCAGTTTACTGATGACAAAGAAAATGAGTAAAGTCTGAGAAGCTGACACGACGCAATTATTATTTTTACCTGAAAAAATGTGTTTATCCAATAATCAGTTATAAGATAAATCAGTGAATCAACTACTAGGTCCAGCTCTGCTCACCTCTCTGTTCAAATGTTCTTCACTTTTATAGCTGGTGGTAAAGAAGACTTGAAACAAAAAAGATGAGGGTTCACATGAGGACAAGGTTCATCCAACCCAGGATGTTGACGTACTACGTCACACATGTACCTCACCCCTCTGGAGCACTAGGATACCCACGGCCGCTGACAAAGCTCCACAGTGTAGGACCTAAGGGTTTCCCGCAAGTACAAAGTATTATTGATGTACCATACAAGCCAACACAAAGCTTTAATGTCCAGTCTTTTCAAAATTCAATTCCAGCACTGTGTCAGAGTTCACACCTTACCCCAAACATAGTGAGGACAGGTCTGTCTGTCATTTACACGCCTTAATCCTTCCATTGTAAGCTTCTGTACACCAGGGACCAGAATTACAGCCTCACTGTATGTCCATCCACACTCATATGTGGTGGAGACTTTGAAGGCATTTAATAAAAGATCCATCCAACAACATAGCACTAACTGGCATGTGAACTATTAATTAAAAATCGATGTTGTATTGATTTTTAATTAATAGTTCACACGGCAGTTAGTGCTATGTTGTTGGATGTTACAGGACCTGTGACAAATGCAGATCCCTTTTTTTAACAGGAGATTTTATGCATATGGTGATGTTTTCCTTGTTTTTATAAAAAACAATCTATATCACCTTATTTACAGTACCGCAATATATCAACTCGTAATCCCTGTATCGTGATACGCGTCGTATCGCCAGATTCTTGCCAATGCACAGCCCTACTGACTAGCCATATGACAAACTGCAGGTTCCTACAGACATGAAAATAAATTTAAAACACATTGTGTCTTTTCATTCGCTCATTATTTTAACCTGATCATCTGCTTCAACACATTTCTCCTGGAAAGCTGAAGCAGAGTTCAAACAGGCGACATCTACAGCAGGTCACAGCTTCACTGTGCTTCATGGAAAGAGCAGGTAGTGCTCATATTTTGTACAGTCGGTACATGACATTCAGCTAA